AAAATCTACTTGAGTACAGTAACGAAGTATTTGTACTTCGTTACTTCCCATCTCTGCATTATACATCCGGGTCTCCATAAATAATGTAATTATGGTACTAAAATTAGTTATTATCCTTAACTCACTAAAGAAAGCTATTACATCGTTAAAAAATGTTCTGGGACAATTTAATGCTTTCATTTCTTATAATATTAAGGTTTAAAATAAAAGGCAGCCTTTTATGTCTTAGTTTTTCTAATTAAATTTTAAAATGACCAAGTTAGAGGAACGAACCAGTGGTTCATTGTTTTTTTTCCTTCATTTTGAAACTGAAAACCAAAGAGTGAAACCATACAGGAATTTTACAGCCAACGCTTTTAGAATTTCCTGATTTTCACTAAAAGTTAGGAATCAAACTTTACAGATGAGAGATGATAGACCAGCAGAAATAATCCCTTTTTGGTTGCGCAGTCAGGATTTAGATTATTAGCTGTATTTTTCCCCTGCTGTCCATTACTGTTTTACCACTCCTGTACATGTTTGTAAATTTCCTCTTTCTGCTCCTGATGTAGGAGCCAGTTTCAGCTGCGACTCTCTCTCCTCCCGATCCTTCTTTCCATGCCTCTTCCCCTGACGACACAGCCAGCCAGGTAGGAAGCATCAGGTCCTGCAGTCTGCATGTTTTTTTTTGCTTGACCACCTCACAACATGCTTAATTGAACTAGAATAGCCATACATGCCCAAACAAGTTTTAAAACTCATCAGTTTAGGGTTAAAATTGAGAAATAATCAACTGATTCTCAGTGATTAACTGGATTTGCTCTGTCAGGTTTTCTGCTTTTATTGCACAAAGCATTGCTGCTAAAGCACATAATGATCGTCCGTCTTTCGTTATCATTTTAATTCCATCCATTAATGTCTGTAGTGTGTGGCATCGCAAAGCAAGCATCACACCGCCTGCAGCTTTTGCTTCTCATGCAGATATTTCCCCCATATTTTCATCCTCATTCGTTAATGTCGTCCTTTCTCATCCTTCCATCCATCCGTGTGATTGTGAAGGCCACCAGATCACCCAGACCCTTGCAGGTGGATGACAGACACCCCTGGAGAAGGAAGGTGACCCACTTAATAAACTTCATAGTGCTCTAACAAAGTCGACGCCCCCTGTTATGTCATTCAGCACTGATCCGGTTCTGCACAAATAGTCCCATAGCTCAGCCTGATAAACCAGACTAGTGTGAGGTTAAATGTGTATTTTAGTCTGGCCCTGATGAATGAGACATTGGAAGATTGTTGATGAGAACAAACAATGTCTGTGCCTATTGGCCGACGCTCTGACCAATGAGCGCAACGGACTGTGACGAAGTAAGTACGACAGAAAGCTGGTGGGGGGAGTGTAAACAGACTCTCGATTATGGCGAATACGTCCTTCTCAAAACTGACTGAGGGTAGAACCTCTTCCTGCTCACGTTTCAACGAAAACCCCAAGTCTAATCCTTCCAAAACTATGGAAGAATACGGAGCCCCTCTGATGACATGGTCAAGAAAAATTTTTAATTGTGGCCACGAAGTAGTATTTCGTGCGCACGTTATACTTATTGCGTGGCCACGCAATAAGTATATAAGCTCAATTTGCTTACCCAGTCGGTCTCCACCAGTAATGTGACAATTGTTGCTAAAACGCCATTTTAGGTGGAAAAGGCGTAGTGTAAATAACCGCAGCATAGCTAAACGAAGGACTAAAGGCCCGTTTACATAGCAGCCTGTCCAAGATAAGTCATTACAGTTAACATAAGCCTGAAAACAGGGGCGGATTTATTGATATTATTAATAAGTATTTCGTGAGCACGTTAAACTTATTGCGTGGCCACGAAGTAGTATTTCTTGGCCACGCAATAAGTTTAACGTGCGCACGAAATACTTATTAATAATCATTCCTGGACTACTGGGTAAGCAAATCGAGCACGCCTTCTTTAAGGTCTAAGGTGCGCTCGATTTGCTTACCCAGTCGGTCTCCGCCAGTCACGTGACATTTGTTGCTAAAACGCCATTTTAGGTGGAAAAGGCGTAGTGTAAACAACCGCAGCATAGCTAAACGAAGGACTAAAGGCCCGTTTACATAGCAGCCTGTCCAAGATAAGTCATTACAGTTAACATAAACCTGAAAACAGGGGCGGATTTATTGATATTATTAATAAGTATTTCGTGCGCACGTTAAACTTATTGCGTGGCCGCGAAATACTACTTCGTGGCCACAATTAAACATTTTTTTCGACCATGTCATCAGAGGGGCTCCGTAGAAGAGGATTAGGGCCACTGACAAAAAAAAAAAAAAAAGTTAACTTGCTTTTTACATTTTATTTTAGTTTAACATTGGAAAAAAAAAGTCAGAATTCTGACTTTTTTTCTCAGAATTCTGACTTTTTTCTCAGAATTCTGACTTTTTTCTCAGAATTCTGACTTTAATCTTAGAATTTTGGATCTTAATGTAGATGGGCACCATGAAGGTAGAGATGTGGGAGCACTCAGCTTCACTGACAAAGATGTGAGTTGTTTGAGGTGGCCAGTGACACATTGGTGGAAAATGACGGAATTAGGCAATTTTTTACGTTACTGAGTAGTCCCCTCATTAATGGAGGAGCAGAAGGTCATTAAAACAAGAGAGCTAGTCTCTAAAACAGACATGGCTATGGCTTGATGCTAACCTGTTTGTTAGCTGTCAGAATTCTGAGATTAAAGTCAGAATTCTGCGAAAAAAGTCAGAATTCTGAGATGAAAGTCAGAATTCTCAGAATTCTGAGAAAAAAGTGAGAATTCTGACTTTTTTCCCATACTAAACTAAATTAAAATGTAAAAATCAGTTAACTTTTTGTTTTTTTTTTCAGTGGCCCTAATCCTCTTCCGTACAAAACTGATTCCAAATCTGAGTCAAACGAGAACTGTTCAACAGTTGTTGCCATCTTCTTTGTTGTGTTTTTTTTCCAGTGTCTTGAAGTTTTGTCGTTGCACCGTCAAAACCCCGCCCCCTTTGCATCCAAAATTCGAAGAACATCTCTGCATTGTGATTGGCCCGCCAGTCCTAGGGCATTGATCGAGGCTAGACCACTCTAAGGCAATAATGATTTTGGCCACTGGCAGATAGGGGTAGTTTAGCTAATGCTGAAAATTCAATTTACAAATATTTTAATGAAAATCTGATGATAGACTGAATCTGAAGGTAGTTTGTCTGAATTGATTTTTATTCTTAAAATAAATTGACCCATTCCAGCCTCAGCGCCCCTGATCTAAAGCTTGGTTTATGCTTGATGTGTACACTCAGCCATTTTTAGCTTCCACCTCCGTCTATGCGGCGTCTGTTTGAAAGGAATTTCCACATGAGTACCTAGGTAAATTGCTAACTACACGGACAGATCAGCGTGGAAAAACATGGTTGTAAACATTTTGAGACAGCCTGTAAATCAGCCAGTATCAACAGATTTTGAAAAAATTCCAGGGATTTGCTCTTGGACAGCATGAAGAAGCTTTGGTGAAGTTATAAAAGACTGTTTCCTGTTATATCATTTAATGGAGTCGGGTTAGTGTGTAGAAGTGTAGAACACGCCCCCTGGAGCCGCAGAGACTATAAATGAGAGTCGTATCAATCAAACATAATCCAACCTACAGGGGCTACAAAATTTAAACTTGACTAACTCAATTTTTCCTTTAATAAGTGTATTTAGGTAAGACAATTTACCAAAGGAATAAGATGATGTACAGTGAAAATAGTGAGAGACTATCAAGAGCTTAATTTCAAATTATCTGATCATTTTTATCTGCTCAAATTAAGGCCAAATACACAGATTTTAAGAAATCTTTGGTTAATTTTTGATCAGTTTTTGCCGTGTTGACTGAACTGAAATCAGGGCAGTTAGGCAGCCAGCTGTGTTCGTTTCCAAATCAAGGTGGTGATCTGCTTCTGCAGTAAAACATTCATTCATCTTTACCAGAAAAGGCTTAAAGTGTGTAGTTACTCAGCTTAGAGTACAGTAGGTTTAAACGGTATTACTGGCTGCCGTACATCTTTTATTGGTTTTACCTAAACCGTTAAATGTTCTTTGTTAGAAACAAAGATGTGCGATCTAAGTTGTGTGTTTGCGTTCCTTTATTATGCGTTATGGAGTTCATGCGATGAGCTGTTCCTCCATATTTTTCCAGAGAACAGCAGAAGCTGAGACGGAGAGCCAGAGCATGGAGGCTCACATGTCCATCCAGGAGAGGAAGCAGCTGATCGAGGCTCAGGAGGAGGCCTGGAAGACCAAAGGCCACGGAGCCGCTAACGACTCCTCCCAGTTCACAGTGGCTGCTCGAATGGTGCAGAAAGGTCAGAGGATGAACTGAGCGTATAGATCTGAGAGAGGAGGGATTTTTTTTCCATACACCCAGATTATCACGCTGTTTTTAACCATCTAGATCTTATTTCTGCAGGGCTGGCCTCTCCCTCTGCTCTCCTCTCCCCCCTCCAGTCCAAATCAAAGAACAGTCTTGCTGTCTCCAAACCTCAGGAAGGTACGTTTTATTACCTATTAATGCTGATGTACTGAATTTCCTTAAGTTGATTTAATGGAATTAGTGATGCCTTCAGGCTCTGTTGGATAAATAAGAACTGTTGAGTCCTCTCCTGTCATTAGACACCTTCCAAAAAAAAAAGAAAATGTTCTTGTTGTTCATCTGGCTCTATCGTGGTTTACAAACGGCCTCCATTTTCCAGGAAAATCTGACTTGTGTTGTTCGATTAAATCGAATGTGTGTCTCTAACGGCTGTCTGTGTTCTAAGCAGAGATTAAGGCGGTCCCAGATCTCAACCTGGAGTCGGACACAAAGCTAGAGAAGCTCGAGTCGTTCCTTGGAAAGCTTAACAGTAAAGGTACGTCATTAATGAGATAAAGTTCTACATCCAGGTTGGTAAACGGTGCCTCAAAACAATGAAACATCCAAAAACTTGTAAATATCTATAATACTAAAGAATTTTACATTTTAATAGGGAAAACATTTTTTTATTTACAGCCCAGTCTATGCTGCATGGATTATATAGACTTTTATTTTATCAGAGAGATCCTGACAGTTTTTTAAGTCATTACAGCTTTATTAACATTTTTGTTTTCAGGAAAACAATCAAACCAGTGCAACATATCACAACAGATCTAATGAATATGTTTTTGCGATAATGAACATGTGAAAACATTCGTCTTGTCTGTAGGGTTAATTTTGTTGCATTATTATTGAAATCAAAGCACATGTTTTGTAAATGTAAATTAAAAAAAAGCAGATTTTGAGAATGAAAACAAAATAAGAGAGGCTATCCAGGAATGATAGCATGACTAAAAAAAAACGTTAAAAAAAATAACTTCTGTTTTCTCAGAATAATTCTTTTTCTATATATTTTTTCATATTTTCTTTTTCTTTTACAAAAAATTTTCCCCCAAGATTTTATTTTTTCATTTTTTTTATTATTATTACATTGAGTGAACTGGATTGTCCAATTTGCCTTTATATACCAGTCCTATTCTCTTCACTTTGGGTGGAGGGCTTTCCTCTGAGGTAAGGAACAAAGTCTAATTTCTATTGGTCTGCATCGACATTAGCAACTTTTTGATTGGTTGATTTATAGAGTTTTTGTATTTGACAGAAGTAAGGAGAATGCAATCTGTGAAATCCAATTTGAAAAGAGTGCAATTCATATAACTTGATACAAAAAAAGTATGTGTGGACTCTGTGGTCTTAATAATCCTGAGAAAAAGAATATCAAAATGTATATGTATATAGCTCTTAATGAGTAATCATCAAACCTGGATGCCTGGC